ACTACTACTACTACTACTACAACTACTGCAAGTGCTACTCGTATCGCTGGTATTACTACTCCTGCTACTACAGCGGCTGTAACTACTAGTACTCCTACTACCCCAACTAACATCAATTGCGACTACTGTCGCTACCACTCGGAAGGCGACAACAGCTACTATTACGACTACTGCAACTACTGCCAATGTTGCTAGCAATGGAACGTTACCTACTAAGACGGCTACTGCAACGACGGCAACCACTATTACGAGTACTACGATTACTATTACTACTATGGCGACGACTGCTACTATTACTATTACTACGGCGACTAATACTGTTAATGTTACGAATGCTGTCGCTATCACTATTACTACTGCTACTACGCCGACTGCCGCTACGACTACCATTACTATCACAACTAGGACTGCTACTACCATCGCTACTACTACTGCTCTTCCGACCCTGCTACTATTACTACCACTACTACTACTACTACTACTATTACTACTACTACTACCACCACCACCACCACTACTACTACTACTGCCACTACTACTGCTACTACTACTGCTACTTCTTCGATGGCTGCTACTCCTGCTGCTGCTGCTGCTGCTACCACCACTACTACTACTACTACTACTACCACTACTGCTAGTACTACTACTACCACAACAACAATGATTACTACTACGAGTACTACGGCTTCGAATACTACTACTACTACTGCTGCTACTACTACTACTACTACTGCTGCTGCTGCTGCTACTACTACTACTACTACTACTACTGTCACTGCTACAACCACTAGTACGGCTGCTATGGCAACTACTCCAATCACCACTAAAAAGACTAGTGCCACCATTCGTACACCTACTAGTGACACCATACAACTTCGTGTATTTTTCATTTGCGTTTCGTGCGTGTTTCGCTACTGCTGCTGGTGCTGGTGCTGGTACTTGTACTTCTATCGCTACTGGTACTGGCACTAATACTGCTGCTTCTCACCCTACCAATCCTCCTACTACCATTACTACTACTACAACTA